GATAGATAGATAGATAGATAGATAGATAGATAGATAGATAGATAGATAGACAGATAGATAGATAGGAAGGAAAGAAGGAAGGAAGGAACGAAGGAAGGAAGGAAGGAAGTAACGAAGGAAGGAAGGAAGGAAGGAAGGAAGGAAGGAAGGAAGGAAGGAAGGAAGGAAGGAAGAAAGATTTTTTTTAATCCATCTTTAAAGTCCATCTTCTAACCAACTGGTTGGCTCTGAATGAATGAATGAATGAATGAATGAATGAATGAATGAATGAATGAATGAATGAAAATTATATATTGCTTTTAGAATTCTTTAATGTACTATTTTATGTCATAAAAGCCCTGCTTGCATCTGTCATGTCAAGATTCTCAAGATTCTCAATCAAGATAGATGCTACAGGAAAAAATTCCTCCTTTGATGAAGTTGAAGCCTTCCAATTCTCACCTATGCCCTACATAGTACCAATTCTGAAACAGAAGCTGTGTAGACCAGCTGTTAAGTGACAGAAGAAATGAGCCTTGGACCACAAGCCTGTCATAAACATTGCACACTTAATCATGGAACATCTGCTTTTCCATTTCTTTTATGACAACCTTCGCCTTGTATTTAATCTAAAGCAGAATGATTTCCCTAATTGGTGCAACAGTGTTTCACAAATTGAAAAGTCTTTTTGCTAAAAATAAAATATACCAACGACAGGACATTTCAATTAGCAGAACCATTTCTTATTAAATAATGTGGGGAGGGGAGAAATAAAAGAAAGAATCACTGTAATTTTTGGCAAATCCAGAGACAGTGCTGCCTTTGTGAAATTTAATTATTAGCAAATTAGTAGTGCAGATGCCAACACCGAATGGATTCCAAGATCCTGCTTTATTTTGGCAGATAATTCCAAAAATGAAAGCACCTCCCCCCCCCCCCCCCCCCCCAAAAAAAATAAAACAATTTTCCTTAAGGACAATGACGGGACTTAGAACACCTTATCAAAGATATATTCCCAGTTTTGATGTTTACTCATGACACCTATTTACACAAGGAAATATTTTAAATGAAATAATGCCAAAGTCATACAATCTTTGTTGAACTTCAGGAAGGATTTATTTTATTTTTTTGCAAGAAGTGCCAGCAACTGACTTGGCAACTTTCTACATGCTAAGAAAGTAAATTATACACTTTCCTTTTAATATTGTAAGAAATATGGAGGAAGCACCAGATGATGCAGTTTAATAACTAATGTCTAGTGATCTCCTTCTGGTTATCCTCCCAATCTGTGGACTTTAACTTCCAAAGTTCTCCAGACAATATGGCCATTACTGCAACATTTTAGAAGTCTACACATGCAGAGAATGCCAATATTGAAAAAAACAAATTTTTGGTTGCTTCTGGCTTAAATGTCTTTAAGGAAACACCTTTAAATAGATTTCCATTTATACTGTGAATTCCAGGCACTATGTGCTTATTTATTTCCATCACGGTTAACATCTCTGGATGGCTATTTGTGTGGAGCTCTGAGTCCTGAATATGATCCTGAGTCTTAAAATAAATTTTGCTTTTCATAGCGGGACCATATCTTCCTTAAACTGTATACCTTTTACTGACACTAAAGCAAACGTTAGACGTCTTAATGGTTTTTTTACTGGTTTTTGTTGTTTTAAAACATTTTAAAGATTTTAATTGTAATACATGTTTTTGAATTGTGAGCCGCCCAGAGTTTTTTGCTGAGATAGGCATCTATAGAAATCAATCAATCAAACAAACAAACATTCAAATAAATAAATAAATAAATAAATAAATAAATAAATAAATAAATAAATAAATAAATAAATATTTCACACTGAACTGTATTTTATTTAATTTTTATTCCTCCTTTATTATTTTAAGCAACTAAAGGCAGTAAATATACCTAATACTCCTTTCTCCTCCTATTTTCCCTTTAATAACCCTTTGAGTTAAGGTGAGGTGAGTTGAGACAGTGATCAGCCAAAAGCCACCCAGCCAGCTTTCATGCCAAAGATGGGACTAGAATTCTCAGTTTCCAGTGATTGGCCTGAACTCACTCAGCCAGTTTTCATGCCTATTGCAGGCCTAGAACTCACAGTCTCCTAGTTTCTAGGCCAACATCTTAACTACTATCTCAAACTAACTCTCATTAGTGAGAACCAAGCATTGATCCATTGATTGCAATAGGAACTGACCAACCAACTTGTCTGTGCCTGATCTACTTCTAATAGTCTGTATCAAACAGCAGCCATATTGTTTTTAAGGCATTTTAAGTATCCACTCTCTTCCCACAGCCCCATTTAGACTTGCCCTTTAATCCTAGATTCATTTTTCCAGTTATGCATAAATGAGATGGGACCTTGAGACATCCTTGATTAGCTTTCACCACATGTTATTTAAAAAATACAGATGAAAACATCTTGATCATCTCTCCTAGTTGCTGGGAAGGCAAGAGAGAGATCAAGGATTGCTGGTAATCGGTAAAAAACTTTTTGGTAAAAACTTTTACCGAAAATCAGGCAAAGCAGGAAGGCAGATTGAGTTGCTCACAGAATCACAGATTTATTCAGTGATCTATCTATCTGCCATTGGCTAGCTCAGTCAGTCACATAAAATTTGCTCATAAAATTAATTCACAACACACCATGCATGTAAATATTGATTTTTTTATAAAAAAAGAGCAACTTTTACCCAAAATCAGGCAAAGCAGGCAGGCAGATTGAGTTGCTCACAGAATCACAGATTCATTCAGAGATCTATCTATCTGCCATCGGCTAGCTCAGTCTGTCACATAAAATTTGCTTGCAAGCAAACTCACAAAATTAACTCACAACACACCATGCATGTAAATATTGAATTTTTTATTTTAAAAAAGAGCAACTTTTACCCAAAATCAGGCAAAGCAGGCAGATTGAGTCGCTCACAGAATCACTCAGTGATCTATCTATCTGCCATCGGCTAGCTCAGTCTCTCAAATTTGCTTGCTGTGAGTTTGCACTGATTTTGCTTGCAAGCAAACCTTCAGTCCTAAGGGAAGTTCGGCTCTACTTAAAAGCAGAGCCGAAGATCTAAAGACTAGCTAGAAAGCAAGAAATCCAACCATTTTCTGCTTCCTAGCTAATCTAAATCTCCCAGCACAGAGACCAGATGATGGTCTGAAAAAGGAAAAATAGCAATTTAGCTGGTAAGTTTTCTGGGTAAGGAGTGAGTGGGCGCGGAGGGTTCCCATGGGCCATGTGGGTGGCACAGCCTTGTGTTTCTGTGAAGCCTGGATTAATTGCTTTGGGGGGGGGGTACTCTGGGGGTGAGATTTCTCTGTGGCCCACCAAAATGTTCTCATGGCCCACCAGTGGGCCGTGGCCCACCGGTTGACGACCACTGATCTAGGATGTTGGGTATTCTTGCCAGTTTAGTATCAACTGCAAATTAGATATGCTCCCTTTCTGTTCCCTCATCTAAGTCATTTATGAAGATATTGAAGAGTATCCCACTGCTTACTTCCCTCCATGTAGACGTAGACCCATTAAGGACTACTTGCTGAGCACCATTTGTCAGACAATTACAAATCCATCTGATGATGATGCTATCTATCCCATTTTTTTCTAACTTTTCAAGATCTACTTTAGATCCACTGGTCTACTTTGTCAAATGCCTTGCTGAAGTCTAAGTATGAGATATATTATGTCCACAGTGTTTCACTGGTCTAGAAATTTAGTCATAATGTTGAAAAATGAAATAAGATTGGTTTAGTATGTTTTTACCTCTAACATGGCCGAATCTTGGTATGAAAATTGCAAAGCCGGGACTCCAAGATGGTTGATGAAATAATCAGAATCCCCTTGCATTTGAATTGAGCTAGCATTGGATTCCATGCACTTCTCTGGCCCAAGACAGGTGAACTTGTAGTTCTGGAACAAACAAAATGCAATGTAAGATTAGGATTAAAAACTGCAGGTGCAAAATAAATAAATAAATAAGGCAAATGAATGTAAAGCATCCCCAAGCCAGGATCATCCAACACAGGGCTCATTGTGATGTCCAAGCTGCAAAACTGGAAGAAAGGATATACTTGGACACCACTAACAGCAATGGAACCAATTGGATGAGCTTGCCCTCATGGTCCTACTCATGAATGTGTCAGTGAGCTGAGGAGGGAATATACAGGAGAAACAGGATATTTGTTACTCAAGGTTGAAGTGGTCCCCTTAATGCTCTCTGATGATTTTCTTGCTAGCACTAATGAGATTTCTTCAAGAAAACCACCCAAGCTCAGAAAGCATCAAGGATCCCAGAGAAGAAACAAGATTTGGGAGAATTAATGATAGACAGTATAATCTCAAATGCAACAATGATTCCTTCCTTCCTTCCTTCCTTCCTTCCTTCCTTCCTTCCTTCCTTC